GCAGTCGTCCTGAGGAGCTTGCCCCTCAGGTGCGGTGGTCTGCTTGTGCCCTTGCAACGGGGGCGAGTTTGGTCTCGCCCACTATGCTTGTTAGTCTTTATTTGGGTATGGGATTGCTTTCTCTCAGCATTACAGAACTCACATAGCGTCTGTCCCTACTGCCTTCATGGGGCCTAACCCTCAACTTCTCCCTCACCTTGTGCCTTTTCTATTTCTACTACTGCATGGTTTTGTGTTTCAGAGTCTCCTGATGCTCATGGACAGCCCACTGAATCGGGCTGGTCTCCTGCAGGTTTATATCCATACCCAGAAGAATGTTCTAATTGAAGTCAATCCCCAAACCAGAATCCCAAGAACTTTTGATCGATTCTGTGGTCTTATGGGTAAGTGATTCAAACTTTATACCAGCCACAAAATAATGCAGGAAGGTGGTTAGGAGTAGTAGAATTTTAGGAAGAGTCAAAAAATTCCTCCAACCTTAAAAATGTGAAAGAGAGAAAACAGCAGAGAAATTGAAGTGTCTTTTTGTGAATTCTAGGATGCATAGTCCAACTATGTGTTCCTTAGCACAGTGGGGAGTGCCTGCTGGGAACTCTAAAGATGGACTTTTGTCTACTTCAGCTCTGATTCCTAGGTAGAGGATAGGGTTCCTCCAGCAAAAGTACAGACCGCTTAAGCCATTTTTTTCTCTCATCAGTTCAGTTGCTGCATAAACTCAGCGTTCGAGCAGCTGATGGGCCTCAGAAATTGTTGAAGGTAAACATTCTTTGACTGTTCACAGGTAATGTCGCAACATTCCTCCTTTGCTGCTAGTGATGTAGGAGGATTTTTTTTTTTTTTGACAAGAGACTTAGCTATGTGGCAAGGTCTCTTACCTCTACACCCCTATTCACTTTCTGCTTTCTGTAGGTGATTAAAAATCCAGTGAGTGATCATCTCCCTGTGGGCTGTATGAAGATAGGTACCTCTTTTGCAGTTCCAAAGGTGTCAGATCTGCGTGAACTAGTTCCTACAGCAGAGCCAGTTGCCGTTGTTGTGGGAGCTTTTGCCCATGGTTCCGTAAGTGCATCTATCCCTGATTTAGGGTTGTAAAAAGCTTTATCGGTATAGATTTCACTCTT